AGTCATATATGTATTTTTTTCCATGTCACTTAGATTCCTTACCATAATTATGTAGTAATTCTTATGTATTTGGTTGGCAGACACTAAACCGCTGGTGTTGAGATTGATGAGCATTTAATGTAAACATTTCTCATTTCCAATAATGCAAATGTCATGTTTCATATTGACTCCTCTAATTTTATGTTCTTGTTGGTCGCTTTAAGGCATTGTAGTGAGAAGATAAAAGTTAACCATTTTATGAACCCTTAGATATGTATTTAAATGTTTTTTTCTTTCATGCATTTGTTTCTAACACATTTATAAGATTAGTTCTTTGTTGCTTTGTATGTCCCTCCCCCACAGTATAACCCCTGCTTTCACTATATTTGATGTTGGCATAATCTGTGGAGGAGAAGGGGAAAAACAAGTCGTTTAAATAAGGATACAGGTGGACCTGTTGCAACAATAAGAAGTACAAGTTGTCATGTCAAAAATGAACTTTACAACTTTGGGGGGGGAGGAATTGGAGCGGGGGGGGGGGGAAGGGATGTGAAGGGTAAACAAAGGAGGAGGCTACAATGCTTGATAAAAAATGTACGCATTATCCTGCCCATGTAATTGTAACCCCTCTGTACAGTATGTTCACAAAATAAATAAATAAATAAAATAAAAAATAAAAAGTTAACCATTTTATAGAATACTACGATAAATCACATAGGATATGCAGGTTTTTGTCTAAGTGAAATTTTAGTTTTTATCCTGAATTGATTGCTCATGAGCATGATTTCCTTTGTTTGCTTTAGAATTTTAATGATTCCATTAATTTGTTTTTCTAAGATATCCAATGTTTTTCCCTTGAATCAGTTCTCAAACAGTTAATAGAACTCTCTCTGTGGTAGTTTTAATACTTGCAGCACTTCAGTATTCGTAAAAAAAAATAGGATAAATAGGAGTTTTAAAGTGAGACTAAGGCTTTTTAAATGGCAAATAGTGTATTAGTTCTAATACCTCTTTCGTCTGTCTCCCCTCTCCTCTCTGTCTCCTCTTTCCCTCTCTTCCTCTCTCTCTCTCCCTCTCCCAGTTTCTCCTCTCTCTTTCCTCTCTCTCCTGTGACCATGTTTAGGCAGGCGTTCTACCACTTGATCCTAGGCTGCAGTCCTCCATATGTGGAGCTGACAGGTTCATACTACTGCACACAGCCATTGCTTTTTCCCTGTAGCTAGAGTATACGCCCCACAACCAAGCCATTAGTTAAAGATAGAGTCTTGGGAAGTACTTGTTGCCCAGACTAGACTATAACTCGTTTCCTCCAGGGTCCACCTCCTAGGTTTGAGCTACCATACCTAGTTTAGTTTTTTTTTTTTTTAAGTCCTTGTTCTTACTTGAGACTCTTAGGATATTCTTGATAGGATTGTATATTTTTAGAAAAAACAGAGGGGATAACTGTTTAAAAATAAATGTACTCAGCCGGGCGCTGGTGGCTCATGCCTGTAATCCTAGCTACTCAGGAGGCTGAGATCTGAGGATTACGGTTCAAAGCCAGCCCGGGCAGGAAAGACTGTGAGACTCCTATCTCCAATAAACCACCAGAAAACCGGAAGTGGCGCTGTAGCTCAAGTGGTATAGTGCTCGCATTGAGCTGAAGAGCTGAAGGACAGTGCCCAGGCCCAGAGTTCAAGCCCCATGACCGACAAAAAAAATTAAAAAATAAAAAAATAAATGTACTCATTGCCTTACTTATGTAACTGTAAACACCCCCTTCATCATCTTTAAAATAAATTTTTAAAAAATAAATTGAAGCTGGTCTCTCAAAAATGTTAGGAAGCTTTGAGATGTTTTTATTCATACATACTTCTCTAGTTTCTTCTCTTAAATCAGAATCACACTTCCATGTTTATATAAGCTATGGAAAATGCAAAGGGAAGTATAGAGAAAGAATAGTTTTGATATCTGTGTTCTTTAGAAAGTATTTTGTAATATAAATTTTTACATGTTTTCATAGTAAAAACATTTCTGCCATTTGTTTGACTATCTTATACAGAGTTTAGTTCAACATTCTCTAAACTGGTAAAAAGTACTCTAGATTATGTATAATCCTGGTAGATATTGTTCACCTAAGTTAGAGAATAAACTGAATATCATATATTGTGTTCACCAACTGCTAATTGCAAATTATACACTCAGGCATTTGAGCATAAAATTTGAAAATAAAATTCTACTATTGTAGAATTTTACTATTTTCTTACTATTCAATAAGCAGTACATTAACAAGATGAATATTACTTCTTTGGGGCTCTTTGAATTCAGGGAGTATTTGCAAATGTCTGTTTTGGGTGGCCACTGGAGGTCAGTGTTTCGCTGTGCTTTTCTGTATTCTTCAGACAGGGAAAGTGTTTTTAAAATTGCTTCCAAGAGGAGGGGCAAGAGATCAGAGTACCTGGCCTATGAGTAATTATTGTACACATTGTATGATTTCATTCCAATTTATCAGCATGAAAGAGGTGTTTTCTAATAAGGGAATTAACTTTTAGTGGATTTTCAAAAATGATAGTAGTGGATTGAAATGCATGTAAATATTATCTTGAGGAATTATATAGAAGCAAATATATTTGCTACAGCATGAATACAATTTGTCAATAGTGCTTTCTTTTCAACAGTTTTTTTTCATTACTTGAAATTCTTTGTATCTTCAGATGTTGTACAGAGGGGTTTGGGTTTAAAATGTCCATTTAAATGTACACCGCATCTTGATCAGTATTACTTCTTTAATCCTTCTTCCCTCTATCCCAGTCTATCCCATCTCTCCCAATCCACACTCATTTCCTCAAGTTTCCTAGTTCTGTTTTCACCTGTGCACATTGACTAGTATGACTGTATTCACTCATCATTCCTGCCTCTATTCGTCTCATTGCTTGGAATTTTTAGCTTGAAGGTTTCTGATATAAATTTATCTTTTCCTGAATTTTTCCTGAATTTTTCTCATTTATATATTTATATAATCTTGCATCTCACTGAGCTACTTTAGGATTAGTTTGAATTATTTTTCAGATATTTTGTAGATTCCTTCAATGTAGAATATCTCTTTTTTTATTTTTATCTTTTTGTGTTGTCCTAGAGCTTAAACTGAGGACCTGGATGCTGTCTCTGAGCCTTTTTCTCAAGATTAGCACTCTATTATTTGATGCACAGCTTCACTTTCAGTTTTTTCATAGTTAATTGGAGATAATAGTCTCACAGGCTTTCCTCCCTGGGCTAGTTTCAAACTGCAGTCCTCAGATCTCAGCCTCCTGAGTAAAAAAACTAGGACTACAGGTGTGAGCCACTGACACCTACTTGATAGAATCTATTTCTGAAGAATTGTTTTCCTGTGGAGTTGTCTTATTCCATTTCATGCTGTATTAGTGTTCATGTTATAAAGTAGGTTTTATAAGAAAATATTTTTCTCATTTACATGGGATATGTAACATAGGATGTCAGTTGGCTAGGTGCCTTACGTTTGATTATAGAGGATCTCTTAAAAGCTTTGTCTATATATGATTGGCATTTAATTAATATCCACAATGTCTATGAGTGCCTCAGAGTCTAGACTTCATTAGTTCATGAAGATAGCTGTACGAATTTGCAGTGGTCAGCAGCTTCTAAAGGTGTGTGTTCCTGAGTCATATGATAGCAGCTGCCACTCTCTTGTATGAAATGTGTAGAGGACTGTCCCCAAGTGCCTTAGGCCAAGCACATGTGACACCAGGGGTTGTGTTCCCTGTAGCCACTATCCCCAAGCCACAGGATGGGTAGTGGCAGATCATCTTTACCTTAGGTTCAAGGCTAGAATTTAGTTATTGTCAAAAGATGGACAATATCAAAAGATGCATTTCCTTGATGTTGTAATAGGATAGTTGTCTTTTGGACTGTTTTTAGCATATTTGTACTAAGCACTGGTCATTTCTTTTTCTTTGGTAGAGAACACCATGGGAATGCTATGCAGCCCTCAGTCAAGGATAATAGTGGTAGCCATGGCTCCCCTATCAGTGGAAAATTAGAAGGCATCTTCTTCAGCTGCAGCACTGAATTCAATACTGGGAAGCCACCCCAGGATTCACCCTATGGAAGATACAGGTTTGAAATTGCAGCAGAGAAACTTTTTAACCCCAATACTAACTTATACTTTGGGGACTTCTACTGTATGTACACTGCTTACCATTATGTGATTCTTGTTATTGCCCCTGTGGGATCACCAGGAGATGAATTTTGTAAGCAGCGCCTTCCTCAGCTAAATTCCAAGGAAAATAAATTTTTGACCTGTACAGAAGAAGACGGGGTACTGGTATACCACCATGCCCAGGATGTCATTTTAGAAGTCATTTACACTGACCCTGTGGATCTTTCTCTGGGCACCGTGGCAGAAATTACTGGTCATCAGCTCATGAGTTTGTCTACTGCAAATGCAAAGAAAGATCCCAGCTGCAAAACCTGTAACATAAGTGTTGGACGTTAATGCCCACTTTTCTTATTCTTACTCAGTCCCTTGTCTTCCCCTAGGAGTATTGATCCTCTGTTGTTCATTTTCATCATCAAATGTTTTCCATGAAGCATGCACATGCCGCTGTCACCAAAAGCAAACCACTACTTTTCAAATGTCATTCAGAACCATTTTAGTGTTTCCTATTCCCCACCCTTTCCACTACTTTCAGTGATGGAATATCCTAAGTTCTCCTTCTGACACTTTATTTGCCTAGATGCTGCAAAGTTTTTATTTTTTCTTTATGCCAAACATAACAAAACAATTATATAGGCCGCTTTAGCAGAACACAAAATAATGGCTTATAAATGTTGTTTAAATATGCGTTCATTTTAATCTACTGAACAAATATTGGGATAACTCCAAACCGCATGAAAGGGTGTAATTGCAGCATGAGTTAAATCTTGAAGCCTAGAATGGTCAGCACTTCCAACTTGTTGTTTGACAGTGTTATTTATGTTATTTATATTAGCTAACAGGAAGCAACTACTGTGTTTCAACATAATAAATATAATAGAAAAATATTTTATTTGTATTGTTGTATAAAATATTTACAGTCATATAGAATATATAGTTACATTTTAATAGCAATTGTATACATGTCATGAAACCATTTCCCTTATCAAAGATGTAATTTGTAAACCTCAAATAGTTGTGTATCTGTCCTGTTCCAAGTAGATGACTTCAATTAAACAAATTTATGAAGGACATTAATTATTCTGATTCATAAAAGTTATAAAATATTAGGTAAATACAGAGAAAATATTAAGCCTCTGAAATAGTCTGCTTCTGAAATCATCCATATTCTCATCTAAGCTACATGAAAGTGTGAGTTTCTTCAATATCATGCTTAAACATTACAGAAAATAGAAATACAAACATGGTTGGTAATGAGAAAAAATATCTTGTTTTCACAAAAGCAAAATAAAACAAATGTCTGTTAGTATGAAATAACAAAAGAAGATACACAAAGATAATGAAACAAAAATGTTCTGTCTGGCTTCTTTTCCAAGGTGTCATGGCAGACAATTACCAAACCTTTCATTTTATACAGAATGAATAACTACATTTCATGAGAAAAAGTCTACTTTACAAAGAATAGACCTTGGAACATTAAGAAAAATGCATATTCCAAATGGAAAAATAGTTATATAATTTTAGATATAGTAAACAAAAAGATTAGCAATAATTCTATGGTCACATCAGAGTATACTGTAGACACATCTATCCAAAATACCTATTTTAAACCTTTAATACAATATTGTAATATAAACATCTGTCAATTATAGACAAAGATAATTCACAATGTACATGCTATCAGAAAGAACTTTGGTAACCAGAAATGTAAAGTTTCCAAAAACATAAAATAATGTGCTATTTTTATAGAAATAAAAAATTAGCAGTGACACATTCTAGTATATTTCAAGGTACTAAAAGCCTAACAGATTTAAAAGACAAGGTAGCAGACGTTATTTCACTTTAAAATCACTTAAAAATTTCAAGTTAGTTACATTCCTTATTAGCTGTTTTCCTTCCTATATGAAATGAGAAGCAGATTTTTCCATTCTCACTGATCTAACATGCTGTTTTCCATATATCATCAAAAATAATCTTTGGACACTAAACTTTCCCAAACAAGTGGCCTGGCTATCTGTCGTTTAGATTAATAAAATACTAGATATTTCTGAAATAACTATATTTACCATGATTTTTCCCAAGTAGCTGGATGCCTATTACATTTCCCCATTTAAATCCCTTCTTCTTGCGTGTAATTATACTATTCCTTCTTAAAAATAGTTAATATACACTAAAGTGCTTCCATTTTCATTATATCAAAACTTCTTAGCAGGAATGGCAGAGGAACATAAGTTTAACTGGTATGAAAGTGGTAAAGATTTCATGAACTTCAAATAGTTTTGGCCACATCTTGCTTGCTAATGAGGACTTCTAATAGTCTCAGTTTAGCTTTTATGTGCTTGTATTCATAGTACTCATCTGCCATTGGTATCCTGTCCTCCTTTTGTGGACTTCTGCAAAACACAAAATACAATCTGTTGTTCACAATGAATCGTCATTAAGCATACTTTTATAATCGATACATCAAAATTATAGGAAATTGCTTCTACTTTTTTTATTATGTTTTTTTATCTCCTCATGTTTCTAAATGATAATGCCCTGAGAAACTGAATGTAATAGCTACTTTGCAAATATGTGGTCCAGTGCTCAGACATATAACCATGAAGCAAGAAATAAGATCTAAGGGAAAAAATGCTAGAAGCTTTAAAGCATTCTTTGTCATTTTTCAGTTAGTTGCCAAGATTCCATACCTATGAAGATTGTTTAGCCCTTACATTGAAAAAGTTGTTTAAAATAGCAACTATTTTGAAAATGTCACAGAAATTTTAATGAGTGAATAATTCATAAAGTTATGTTGGTAAGAAATGTCTAATGGCTGTCTTATAAGCTTCAAACATTTCCAACTTTTCTTGTAATTAGGATACCTGTCTGCTGATGTGAAGTGTACGAGTCACTAAGCTGTTTCTTGATTGAAATTTGAGTCTAAATTACAGCTATTTTCTTCTATACACTAATTATAAACTAGGACTAGACATATATCAATGATAGATTTTAACAAATATACAGTCTACTAAATAAATGTTCCTACCATACTACCAAGAACCTTTACAGTGACTTAATACTTTTAGCAATTCATTTGCATGGTTATTTCACTCTATAGGCATTCCCAATTTTCAAAAAAATCTCAGGGAAACAAGGAAATAATAGGCCATATTTCCTAGCCATTCAGATGTTTTAGTTGTAATAACTCACTACTTTCACATTTAGATGAACTGTATCACCACAAGAGGGCATACAACCTCACCTATAACATAAAAGCATATCTGAAGTGGGTTTAGGTGTTGAAGTTGCATTGGAATATTAGATGTATAAATAATAAACTGTCAAAAAAACATGCCAAGAAACACTACAGATTCACTACGTAGGAATATTAGCTTATTAGGAATTTCTCAAACTCATTAAGGTAAACTTATGGGTTCAAACAGGTAAAAATAGAAATTTGTTGTGAAAAGATGTGTGCACATTTTAAACTAATTAACTCATTTCTGATTAGAAAAGACTATTTAAATGTAGGATTCTGAAAAACATCTCCCCAAATATTTACCTACTGGAAAACAGACCAGATACTTGAATGTAAATCACATATGTGTTCATAATATATAGCAGACAGTCCAGACAAAGTCACTATTACACGAATGTTTTATAGGGAGCGTTTCATGAATGTTTCATCAAAGAAGAATATATGGGGGCTGGGAAGGTGGCTCAGTGGTCGAGCGCTTGCCTAGCATGCATGAGGCCCTGGATTTGATTCCTCAGCACCACATAAGCAAAAAGAAAAAAAGCCAGAACTGGCGCTGTGGCTCAAGTGGTAGAGTGCTAGCCTTGAGCTGAAGAACTGAGGGACAGCGCCCAGGCCCACAGTTCAAGCTCCGTGACCACCACCATTACCAACAACAACAAAAAAGAATATGTGGAGAAAGTAAACAAAGTAACTAAATTTAGCTCCTAACAATTCTCAGTACCATAGCTAACATTACCAGAAAGATAAATAAGTTGGACTTGTAGGAATCAATTGGAAAGGAAGACTCTTAAGTGGAAAATAAAATATATTTATTCAGTTTCTCACTTAATAGTTCCTCTCATTGAATAGCCTGATGAGCTAAAGGGGAAATGCTGCCAACACTTAAAAAGTAAGTAGACCAAACTTGAATGTTTTAAGGTAGAAAATAGTCCCTCTCTGTCAGGGAACTCCTCAGGCTGCTGAATTAAAGCAGTTTTAAAAAAGCAAGATACCTCAATGGAGAAGAATACTAAGGAGTCAGTATATCAGTGACTTTAACCATTATGCTCCAGAATCCCAAAGAAGACTTTGATTTCTACTCTGCTAATTAAAAACTATGATTTTGGAAAAGTTACATATACTTGTTTTTTTTTAAATATTGATGTCCCACATGATAGCTGTAACTTCCCAGATTATACCAGGGTTCAAGGCATTTCATCTTACAAAAGTAGGTCAGTATAGCTAGGTGATATTGTCTGGCTCTTCAAAAGTAGATCATCCTTCAACTCTTGGTTACAAATTCATGATTTTGTAGGTGGGACACTTAAAAGGTATAAGAAGCTAATGGAGCATTTAAGATTTGGATTGACACAGATAGAGGACCAAAAGGTACAACTGAAGATTTAAAGAACAGATAAATGGCTATATATTTTACTGAATGCTGAAATGAAATAATTATGGATAGATACTGACTTTTAAAAGATATACTTAAAAGGATTATTATTTTATAGGTATGGAATAACTGGTGCAGCTAAGAAGCAGAGAGCAAAGTTGTTATATAAACTGAAAAAATATACTTTAAAGCATTAAATGCAACAGTTACAATAAAATTCATTATGTAAAATAGGGGGGTTTAGTCCTTAAAGTGATTGTTTCTGCAAAAACATTACAATTCCTTCTTAATAAAGTTCTCTAGAAAACATGATCTTTGAAAAAAATCTCTCTGGACACACTTACCTTCCTGTTTGTTTAAAAAACTGTTCTTCAAATTCTCTTAGGGCTTTCCGAAGTCTTTTCTTGTCAGCCCTAGTTTCTCGGAGATGATCAAGAAGTACAGGCCTATATTAAGCAACATATATATGTTTTTCACAATTACTCAGCATACTTGAAAGATAATGAGCACATTACCTGTTCAAAACTTGTTTTTAACTGAAAACTTCTTAAAGAAATATGTCGAACATAGTATTAGAAATTACATGGTGGAAACAGGTAATCATGAGAAAGGAGAAAGGACAGAGGCAAGTTCATTGAGTCTATTGTAAGAAATGATGTTACTATGACTAGATGAGGGGAAGGTACAGACATGTTGATGCAATATAGATCATCAGTATTTGAAGAGACTGAAATTATAAAAGTCACTAGAAGGATTTCAAGGAAGGATTTGGAAAAGAATTCCAAAGAACTTAGAGAATGAATGAAGAGAATACAAAATGCTTGGAAATGAAATTGTAAACCAAAAGCTACTGTAAATTCTACTCACTTGATAATAGATCTTATATATGCTTATGGGACTCTGAAGTTTGAAATTATACATGGGCATTTATACTAAGAGAATATTCCATAGCTTTTACCAAAAACTTCTCACTCTCTCCTTCCAAAACAGTTCAGACTGTCATAATTCAGAACAACCCCCCTCCATAAAAAAAGAAAAATAAAATTTTCTATTTTCAATGAGTTCAAAAAAATCTCACCTAGTCAGTCTATTACCTTATCCCTCTGTGAGGTATTTTCTATACAATGCATGTTAAATTTTCATAATCTGGGCTGTAATATATAATCCAAACAAGACCAAATGATCAAAAGGATGCCAGGTGTCAAATAATGACAATCTTAAAAAAAACTAAATTGCTCTTGATTGAGGGGTTATTAGGAGACAATAAACAACTCATTTAAAGTCTAGGCAATTACCAGCCTAGAGAAATTATTTCATCAAAATGCAATGGAGTAGGATTTTAAGGGTCTGACAATTGTTGACCCGTACAGGATCTTAAGTCTCTCTGTGTCAAGTATTTTCAGTGATCATCTCTACTTCTACACTGTAAAGGGTTAGACCTGTGTCAAAATCTTATTGAAAAGAGGTATGATTAAAGGAAAGCACACATTTACATTTATAGAATTTTAAGGGCTTTACTGAGAGCTGTGGTTCTTCATGGCCTTACCTTCTACTCTAAGGGTTAAAGAAATGCCTATAAATTTTTACCAAATCATGAAATAAAATAATTAGGGACATCCAATTGTGCGTTTAGAGCTACTCTCTTCTAGATAGCACTTTTTAGAGAGTCCAAGAGATCTCCTGAAGTTTTTACATTCATATAAATTATTGACCTCGAACTGGCAGAGTTAAAAGACTCCACACTTAGGATTTACACTCACATGGTTGCCTCATGTAAATTAGACATGGAAAGGGCAGGCTGTTTTATTTCTTTCTTCTCATCAGCTAGCAGGGCCCTCACAGGCTCAGTCTCACTAGAGTAGGTGAGGTGATCACCAACAGGAAGGTGAGACACTGAATCCGGTAAAGAAGGTTGTTGGTTTCCCTGTGGACAGTCTTCATCAGAGTCCTCTTCCTCCTGCTTACAACAGACAGAATTCAATAAAGTTACTAAATGCGGTATACCTCTGGAGAGTTCAAAACTGGAGAGAAGAACCATAAAAGACATCATGAAAACCAGCAGGTAATCCACTGAGAACTGGGATGGAAACTACCAGGAGCTGAAGATAGAAACTGCTTTGCTAAATGGCAACTCCTTTGTACAACTACTTAAAGCTAATAATAAACTCTAGAAAGTCAAAAGTGTAAAGAGGCCACCATGTTTAGCTAAAATGCTTACCATGTTCCTTTGTATTTGCTGGTGAAGGAATTCACAGATTTTAGGATATTGTCCAATCTGGACTGCACTAACAGGTTATTGTATACCCTATTACTCAGATTAGGGGTATAGCGTTACACTAGTGATGTGGGTTAGGAGGAGATAGACTACATATACCTTGTCGTTCAGTTAGGTCCCATTGAAGGTCACATTCACATATACAGGATACTTATAAAATGGACAACCTTAAGGAAGAGATTTTTGAAGACTAAAGCAAAGTGGGATTACTTCTTAACCTGTTCTAGTAATTAAAACAACCAAAAAATTTCTTGCAGGGAAATCTAAAAATCGATTCCATTTTAAATGATGTTTACTCAATGGAGAGCATTATTCTCTTAAAAAGATAAAAGAATATACTCGCATTTGTTAACATGCTATTTTATAATCTTTAGCAAGTGGCTGTTTTGATATTAATAGAGGAGGATTTGTAGTGCTTATACTAGTTCCATATGTTCATCCTTTATTAAAAAATAGCCTAACTCAATTTCAGTACTACTATTTCAGTACTCCATATTTCTGCTTTTAAAAATGACTGGTATCAGTGATATATATGCGCAAGAAAGCCATTTTATAATTCTCATAGTGCTATCACATGATACAAACTAAACATTAATGCAAACACCAGTAAAGATTTCAGTGGTGCAATTATCATTACTTACAATTGTTGGAATAAGGGAAGGTGTGGACAAGATTTGCTTGATGATTCTGTATCGATCATAAAGAGGCTTTATTAAATTCTTGTCTTGCTTAATTACCTGAAAAACAAAAAGATATTCTGGTTAAGATACGACATTTCTCCTGAAAAAAGGCCCATCTGTTGAAGGTTTGGTCCCCAGCTGAAGGCAATGTTGGGAGGTGATTTGTATCATGAGGTACTACCCACATCTCTGGATTAATCCACTGACTGACTCTGAAGTAAGTAGATTACTGGGAGGTGGGGCCTAGTTGGAGGAAGTGATCTACTCAAGTGTCTTGTTCTCTTCTTCCTGGCCAACATATGGTCCCCAAAATTATCTCTCCTTATGCCTCAGTCAAGTGACAAAACTGTGATCCATAATAAACTTGCCTCCTTTAAGTTGTTTTCCTCAGACATTTTGTCACAATGACAAAAAGTGACTAACAGACATCTCCTTTTATTGTCACATGATGACATAACTATTTCCTGTTTTTCATATATAAGGAAGTTGAATCTCAGATAATACATTCACCTGCCAATGGCATATTATTAGGAAAGTTCTAGTCAAGCACTGAGTGATATTCTAAGTTTCTTATACCAGTCCTAACTCCCCCCTCACTATCCTGGCTAATTTGAGACAACATAGGACTTTCATATCAGTCAAGATACTTGTATGGATATGGTCAATACACTTGTAAAATACAGAATGAACCCAGAAGCACTAAAGGATAGAAGACTCCAGATGTGCCTGATTATAAACATACAGAAACCACCCACTGGCTATTAGTTGACTTGCAGAGCCCAAGTTCTAATGTGAAACACAACATGAATCTTTTGCAAGTTGGTACATACTGTCACCTCATTATGATCAGATCATGTTCTTTTGCAAGTTGGTACATACTGTCACCTCATTATGATCAGATCATGTACAACAATAGGTAAGGCCATCATCTTCCTAAAGATTTCATCCTGACGTTAAATGTGCTGTTTTTCATCTTTCTAGTTGCCCATTCACTCGGCAAACGTATTCCATACTACCTGTTACTAGGGGATCTGTAAGAAGTTTAAAGCTTAGGGTCACAAAATAACCTACGGAATAGTTAGAGCTATGTTGGAGCAGCTGCGATTCTTACTCAGAAACTGAAAGGCAACCACACCATTATTAGAGTTGATAAAGGACTACAAGAAAAGTTCCCTGGTATACGTAAATGAAACTATAAGCAGAATGAGGAAGGACTGGTCAGATAAACACTAATCATTATTCTTTGTAAATTCATAATTTTTCTTTAACCTCCAGGCTCATATATCCTAATGCTTCAATGACAACTCTACTGATTGATTGATAGAGATTTCAAAACTAAGATGGCTAAACTAGAAATCTTAAATTCCAACCCAACAGTCCCCAAGAAACCATACCTCCCTATTCTTCTTATGTAGACATAAAACCAGTTTGCTTACTAGTTATTCTTCATCTTGACTTTATTATATTGTAACATACAGAGAAGGGATTATAATTGAAGCTCTGTCAGACAGTAATACTTATTTCTTAGTATTGAGTTCATTGGCTTATTTGAGGAAGAAATGGACATAAAAATACTGTCTTTACCATTTTCTATCAACACATAACGTTATGACCTCCAGAACAGAAGACAATCTCAACACCCTTATGTAGGTCATGGCCAGGGATTTATCGGACTAGAATTTTGGAGTCAGTCTCCTAAAGATGTTTCTGTGTTGTCAAAGTGCTCTAACAAACTGGTCAAAAGCATGATCTCTTTAATATTGTGCAGAATGCTGGACCCCTACAATATGGTGTAAGGTACCTTAGAATCTTCCTGGGAAGGAAGCTGCTCTCTTTTCTCCTTCAGGCTTGTCAACGTTGTATCTGAAATCTCTTCTCCAGAGGAGCTTGGCTCCGGGCCTGCAGCTTCTGGCTTTCCATTTTCCATTGGGACTGCGGGTTGTTCACAGGACAGGTTTCGAGTTGGGCCTTTGGGAGCACTCCCTTGTTCTTCTGACAGCTTCAGCTTTAGTTCTAACAGAAACGCCATGAATTACCATAAACTAGAAGGAATCACTGGCCCTGATGATAAAAAGGACCCTTTCAAGAATGTGCTCTTGATTGCTTTCTATGGGACAAGGGCAGCCTCAGTCAAAGTCATAAGTGCTCAATCAAGTTTCAAAGCAAAATGCTCTTGAAGCAGGGATCTCCTAGAGGTGGAGGATCATGTGCGGTAATAATTGTTTTAGATTTCAGTGGGACAGTACTAGAGGAAGACCAGTGGTATCTGACCCCAAGTTTCCACCAGTTACCCATTTTATCATCTGAAATTCTGTATTCAACAATCCAATGATATAAGTTTTGAAAGTTGTGTTGTTTACCAAGAGCCCCTGTGGAAATGCAAACATTTCTGGAAGATAATAGTCATACAGACTCCTAAAGAAGCACAGAAGGTATAGGAAAGGAGATTTAAGAATGTCAGCCTCAATTTGTCAAAGTTCAGTTCTTAAAACCCAGGAAGGACCACATTACAATGTGTCTTCATATAAACCTGAAGAATTAAAAAATAAATAAAGCCCCACCTGGGACTTAACAGGGAATTATATTTCAGATTCATGTGAATAAAGCCATTTATATTGATTTCTCAACCACATAGCTCATTTTCGTTGACTTTAGACTGGCTTACTGTTTAAACACTGCGTATTTTATTAATGAATTTCATCATTACAATTTAATAGCACTGAATTAATATTCCATCCTAGTGATTAATCACTACCATTTCAGAAATTTAGAAAAAATACTCCAATATCTAAAACTTTCAGAGTACATAGAGGAAAATAATTTTGTGTGTTGGTCCCGGGGCTTGAACTAGGATTACAAGTATGAGTCACCAATGCCTGGCTGATTGCTCTTTATAAGTGGATTTTAAAGTAAATTTATACACTACCATCTTCAGAAAGGGACATGGAAAGAAGAGAGGTGAACTCAGAAACAAAAGAACCACATCATCCAAGGTATATAGCATTTCTCTTTGGGCATAAACATTGTCATCTGTGTGGTAGGATATAGAGTCTAGGCCCCTTTTGTTTTCAACATCCAGGAATCCAATAACCAAGTGAATTGCTCTACTTAGAGGCTGGAGGGCCTCATCTCTTCATAAAGAGGTTTGTCAAGTGGGGATTTAGAATAAAGGAAATCTGGGACCTCTTTTTATTTCAAAATGGCCTCCAGTATAAGTAGGAAACTAAGACCTAGAGAATATAGAGGGAAATGAATAAAAAAATTCCCTGAAGCACATTATCCTATTTTTAATTGCTTTTCTGGGAAAAGAGACCTTTGGCTGGCATTTACCTTTGAGCTGTTTACGACCTTTAGCCAAATCATTCATCCATTTCAGGACTTCAGGATTAGAAGTCTTGTCACCATGGGAAGGCTTCCAAAGGAAGGAAAAATAGAAGGGGAAGAGAGGGAAGAAGGTAGAGAGGTAGAGAGAAAGAGAACAAAGGAAAAACAAAATTTTAAATAGCTCAAATACAAAGATAGTCCAGGAACAAACAAAACTGAGAGAAATGTGAAAACCTGAGCTGACTGAATTACCTCCAGAAAACAAGATCAAACATTCTTGAATTCTTCTGCTCTTTGAACCTTTACCATGGGCATTATTTCTAAACACGCTTGGTCACCCAGAATCTTATATACTCCTAATCACACCAGGGTTCCCATACACCATAGCTTATTGCCAAGCCATTTTCTTTATCAGTATATACAACACTGATAATATCTTGCGTGTACCTCACATACATGGTTTAGGATGATAACCAGTTGGAGAATAACGACAAACTAAGGTGTAACTTCCCAAGCCAAAGGAGACCTCAAGTCTCTAAAACCTGACAAGTTTTCTTTGTCAGTCTGTCAGAGAGATAGATTTCTAATCTTCTTTATATAGAGTCAAGACACAGCATTAATGTGACATTTAATCACATGTCTGAACTTGGGCAGATTATTTAGCTTCTCTGTGCTTCATTGTCTCATTTATTAAATGAGGATTATAACATTACCTTCCTTGTAGAGTTCCTGTGATTGATTGATTGATTAATATCTGTAAAACACTGAAGATGGTTCCAGGTGCATGCTAAAGACTATAAAAGTGTTCCTAGACTTGCAAATACTACTAGTAGTAGTATTTGTACTATAGTACTGATGCTATCACTACTACTATTAATACTGGTTTTATTTTCACTAGCAGAGGTGTTGGTAGTAGCAGTGTTTCCAACAGAACAGTGATCTTCACCAACAAATGTACATTGAAGGAATTCATGTCCTGCAAGAAGTTAATTACACCTCAGATATGGTAATATTTGAGTTCAGAAAATTATGACTCTTCCATTACCAGTAATTCACTTTGCTTCTGAATTCCTATTCAGAGCACAAAGGTGGACTTTGTACACAAGTGAGATATTAGGAAAGGAACATTCATAAGTAAGCCAAAGCCACCATGACAGCTTAAATGCAGGCTAAAAATGATTAATGAGTACTTTAAGGATATACAAGGGACTATATAGCAATGCTCAACATGACATGATCAAAACTATACAGTATGAAATGTATATTGTTAGTGACCAAGCCTTAGGGCTCTGTCATGTTTCCTTTGGGATCCACAAAGGCCATACCATGAATAAGTCTGTAATGAAAGAGAGGCACAGGAAGATGGAAAACACATTCTTTCCAAGTTCAAAGGAAGAAAAACAATACTCAGATGGCACAATCATCAAATATACATGGGATTAAGAGTATTTATTCCACATAATAATGTGGAATTGTTATAGAGTGGTATAATATCACACATTTTAAAATCAAGATGGAAAGGAAATGGAAGAAAAATAATGTTTCTTTCCTAAGGGATCTTAAATAAGAGACTGGTTTCACGAAGGAGCCATGGTTTCAGGACCACGGACAACGACAAATGGCTCACGGAACCTATCTCTGGTCTGGTCCTGTCTATGGTCTAGAATAGTACGTTGCGTTACTTGCTGCTATAGAATACGGTACTTTGCTTTGAGTAGCAACTTGGCTATATGGACAGTCAATGTTTTGCATTTGGTTTCTCAGGATACTCAAGAGAATTCCTTGATGTGAGAAATTCATCTTGTTGAATAGTACATCATCAATCTGTCCTATGCTGCTAATCCTATCTTTGAAATATAGTTTTCATCATTGTACACAGGACATAAGGGAAATTTAAGGCTACATTTCCAGACAAAGTAAGGCCTGGAATCAGTTTTAGAAATATTTTCTTAATTTTTTTTCCATCCTCAGAAGAGCCTTTAAAAGAACTTGAAGTCAAGTTCACATTATGGCAGGACTTCTGAATTGAAATATTCTTGTTTAGTAGACCTCAACAGTTATTTAACCAAAACTTATATAGTTAGATTTTATTCAATGTAATTAAAATGGTGTGCCCAGATGACATTGCTAGAAATACCATTGGGTAGAATGGTAGTCTACAAAACATAGTTCATAAAACACATTATAGAGGATTCTGTATTCATTATGTAAAGACCTGAATTGTTATTTTGATTAGATTCTTTGCTGTGTGGTTCTGGAAAAACCACTTCCCCTCTCTGGGCTTCAGTTTCATCATTCATTTGGAAGAAAAAAGACAATTCTGACATTTTTCTGATTTCACTGAAAACAGCCATGTGGCTGAAGTCTTTTTCAGTGCTCAATGAATGAATGTAGCGAACAGCATAATTTTGAGTAGGGTTATCTAAAATGGTTACTTTCAACAGAGGTGAGAAGATGTACATTACCTACACGTATAAGAAAAGCACAGAAGTCCAACAGAGGCTTGTATCCAAAAATTAGCAATGGGGGATATTAATTCCACAATCAGATTGCCAGGAAGGGCAGTCTTACAAAAACCAACCAATTAAAGCTCCTTGACAAGTCAAACCTCTTAAACACAGCCTGACACTCTGACAGGAAGGCCAAGAGGAAGTCCTATCTCCTGGGATATGCAAGGCTCTGATTACATCAAAGGCTCACAGACACATTGAAGCAGTAGCAAACACGAACCTCCTCCCCTTAATGCTTCCACATCTATCCTTCTGCTTCTGTGTTTGAGAATGTGTTGTTTACTCCAATTTAAAATCTCAAGACAAAGACATCAGGAAAATTCTTTTACAAAACAGGCAATTCTGGGTGTCATAAGCATCACACATGTACTCTTATTTAATACCCTGAAACATGTCACCACTGATATCAACCACACTTTAAGATAGGCAACCAGACTCAAAACATGAAGTTCAAATGCACTAAGTTCCTAAATGTATGTGTGTGAGATTTAGGATCACAACAGTATGACTCAAGAACTACCAGGTCCCATCAAGCCCCTAGTTGTTATTCTGCAGTATTCCATACGAGGACATCATAAATACAGGAACACTCAAGCAACCATCAGGAAATCAACTTTTCCTAGGGTAACTGAAGCCCTCAATATATTCATATCTTGGAATTTTACTCCTAATCTTCCATGGCAAAATCTACTCATCTTTATTTCACTGCTCTAAACCTGAGATGACAGGACACAACCTTATAACTTAGGTAAGTTATAAGTCTTTACTGGGTCTCAGATCCTTATCTGTAAAAAAAAAAAAAGCCTAAACTAATAATGTATACAGCCCCAAAACAGACAATGTGCAGCTGTGACAACCTGACTCTGGAAAAGAGAGGAATCTTTAATATCCTGACTAAAATTGTATTTAAAGCCAATCTGATTATTTTTCCATCTTGCAAAATAAAGGCCATTTCTTAGTAGTGTGTGTGTGTGTGTATGTGAAGCTGTGTTTGCATAGGACAGGAAGAATGGAGGAGTGGAATATTACCTCCCGGCTTGGAATTTTTCACACACTCACAGGAAGCTTCCGATTGCCTCTGTATCAAGTGCTTAGTGAGTTTTTCAATATTTCAAAATACATGAGAGATTATTCCCTGTTCTCTTTATTCTAATAACCAGCTGTTCTGGGACTTCTGCCAGATATCCAATATCTTTGAGCAATTCCATGTGAATATGATTTTTCTTTATGTCAGAGTCATCACAAAAGGAAATAAAAGTAGCTTTAGCCATCAAGACACTTCCTTATGACTATTGTGATTTGTGTGAGAAAAGACAAAGCTCTTGTTTCCATCACTGCAGAGCTAGCACAAAGACTAATGTCTGATGAGAAAGGCTGGTACAAATTTTCTTCTGAGTGCTCTAAACAGAGGTGACTGGATAACAAATCACTGCTCCCTCCCTATACTCCATAATTAAGACTTCTGTCTATTAAGTCCTTAATAGGTTCTTACCAGAATGCAGGCAGAAGAAATTAAAAACAGAAAACCAAAATTCAAAAGCTTTCCAAATTTTGATCTTAGTGACAGTAGGGTTTCTTGGGAGGGAGGAGAGGGGAGGAGTGGGCAAAAGAGGAGAGGGAAGGAAAGTAATCAAAAAGTTCAGAAATAACACTTTAAGCTATATCTAGGAAATTATAGCAATGATCAATTGCTGTCATTTGAAAACAAGACAAATTTAGATGAGGACACAAATTATGATAAGCCCCAGGCTTGGAGAAACGAAGGTTAACCTGGTTTTCCTCATTTGTGGTAGATAGAATGTATCTATAAGTTTATAAACAAACATAGGTAGCATGCAGATGATTATAAATGAATTAACTGAGGCATAATAGACTCTCTAGAGAGCTCCAATAGTATAATTTTTTTAGAAAGACTATGTCCAAACCCAACAAAATCAGCACTAGGAAAGGGGTACATGCAAGGGAGTCAGGTCAAGGGGAGAGCGATAGACAAGTAAAGGGAGAAGGGAGGAGAGTGAAGTCAAGAATTCATTGTACATACCACAGATTAAGAAAAGGGAAGGGGTGGGTTGTAGGGGGATGGGAATGTTGAAGGATGACACTAATCAAGATACGCTGCGTTCATAAACTGCTTTGTTAAATGGCACCTTCTTTGTACAACTACTTAAAGACAATATTTTAGTACCCGGTTTTCTTTTTGTGGGGAGGTGGGTCACAGTGCACTGAAATGTCCATTGTCAGAGTGTTACTCAAGAAAGGAGAAACAGAGAAAGATCCACAAAACACTCTCTGAGACAATGTAGTTTCCTTACCCGGTATTTCTTTTCTTGTTCAAATTTTTCTTCAAATTTCCGAATTTTCCTCTTGAGGCTCTGGATATGCTTGGTGAGCTGGGTAATGGTCTGTGGCTCTTTGCCATCACCACAGCTGCACCGTGAAGAACTTCTGGGCCTGCCATGATTGCAGAGAGGAAAAGTACATTATAAACAATGGTCTGCAGTAAACACTGCTGTCTGGTCTGCAAAGGAAGATGAACAGAACCATCCAAAGTGCAACTCTGACAGATGTCTACAGAACAGCATTCTGGGCCCAGGTAATCAGGTACTTTGGTATTTGTATGTCAAAATATTAGTCCAAAAACTAAATTTCTCAAAACTTATAGTCACCAGTGTAAGACAGAAGAGACAGCCCTGTTGGGCATTGTTTCCAATGGAATGCACAAGCCACACCTATATATATATTTTTAAGGATTTAAAATGAGTGGTTCACTACACTTGGCATAATACCTTTTCAAACATAATGAAAAGATTTTTCTCCAGAAAATGTCTACTTTCTTTACACCTGGCATGCGATATTACATGCCATATTAATAGTTACATGCGATATTAATAGTTCAGGCTTGGATAAATTCAGCAATAACATCATGGGTTATGAGGGAGAAACTGAAGTTTCCCCGAGCCTATATTAGAACAAGAGAGTCTCAATTTTATTACATCGAAATTTGTGAAATCTCCACACAGAGCATGTCCATTTGAATTTAATCCTAATCTTTAGAGCCTGAAATGCAAGCATCTCATTTCATATATGGAGAAAGATAGCTCTACCTATCTAATGGTGGTAGAGTAGACAACTCCACTCCTAATCCAGCCACTGATGCCACTCTTAGATGTAGAAAGAATTGTGAACGTATTACTGTATTTGAAAAAACTATGGAATGGGGATGACATAAGAGGATGTTCTTACATCATAAACTGCTGAGTACTGGGTGGAGATGGGGCTGACTCTGGGTCTAAGTTGAATCTCTGGCTTTGGCTAAAGATGGAGCAACGTGGTGACAGCAGAGGGTTGTCACCATCAGTGATATGATAGAGCAGCCTGCTGGTCCCCACAGACTGGAGGTCTTCTGGTGTACTGTCAGCCTCATTCTGCCCATCTTTGTGAGCTGATATGGGATCTGGGGAAACAAGATAAATGATCATGGTTTAGAAGTGGCATAGGGCTTGGGTCTGTCGTGTTCCTAAATAAAGATCATAAACATTCATTATAATGGCTTGCCTCTTTGTCATTTCTTCCTTCAGGGGATAGGAAAAGCTTTCAAAATACTGTCATGTTTGTTTTCACAGAACCTGGATAGAAAATATGACAAAGCTGCCAACAAAACAAATGCAAACAAATTATTTTAGTTTGAGTTTTTCAGTCATCAGAGCTCCAAACTACAAAAATCTGTTTCATATTATTTTATATATTATAGAGTATGTGTTGCAAAGCATTAGAGCAAATAAAAAATTAAATGGAGCGTGAATAAAAGATAATCAATTTTGAAGAAGCAAAGGGATACCATATTTGCCAGTGGAGGGAGGGGAGATGATAGTGGGGAGGAAGGCAAAAAAACAGGAAAAGGAAGAAAGGACATCCCCAAAGCGAAAATTATGTAACAGCCCTCAAAAATGCCGGAGAATTCTGCTTATCAACATGGAATGATACTCAGAATATACTAAAGGAAAACCACATTTCAAAACACAACAGTCATTCCATTTTATATAAAAAGCTTGCATTCATGTGTATAAATAAATGCACTAAAAGATTGAGTGGGTTATATAATAACCACAAACCTCATAAAATTAGTAATGACCGAATTAACTTCTGAAAAGTTTTTATGGCAAACAAAGGTGAAAACAAAAACTGCTCCAAACAAACTCCCCCCTCCCCAAGCTGATCAATTCTATGCCTAAATTCTCACCACCATCATCATATTTTAAGTTAGCTCATCAACCTGGCTCCGGTCAGTCCAAGAGAAGGGGAACCCTGTGTTATAGAAGTGAGGGGTAAGAAGCAAAGGGGTGAGGCCTGTCAGTAGATCATTAGAACAGAGTCACGTGATCAGTCTACAATTTCTCTTAGCAGAGTTATTCCAGAAGCAACCCAAATTTCTCCATTTTGTTCAGCAGACAAGCCAGGGCAATCCAAGACTTTCTCAAATGTACTTCTCTAAGGAAAGTACAAAACAAAAGTTTACTGGGTGAATAAGCAGAATCAAAATACTAACTATTCACATTTCCAAAACAAATATTTATCACCATTTGCTACTAGATGGATCTTAATCCAATTTAGAATGGCTCCTTGTTCTTTAGAGCCTGAAATGCATTTTGTATTGTGTAACATCAAAGATCTGATTAGGTTCTCTCTCTTGTGTTTTCAGTTGGCTTCTCTCCTGGTGGGTTGTAGATGAGAGAGTAGATAATGCTTCCTGTTGTGCTTCCCAAGCCAACCAACAATACTTCTGTCAGTGGCTGAAGCTGGTGAGGCCAGAGTTGGAGTCAAGTGAATGCCACTGATTATGCTGAGTTTTGGCAGGAGCCCAGAGGAGTAATAGGAATAACTTACTAACAAATTGGGGCAGAAAATAACAGTCAGCTTCAAAATCTACCAAGTGATATACAGGTTCCCACCATACCCTTCATTTACACCAGTAGGTTCTAGGAAGAAATGCATTGTAGTCATGTTCCCTATTTTATATCTTTCAGTGAAAATAATGGAGAAGAAAATAATCTTCAGCAAGCACTTAGGTCTAGATACTTACAATGTGTAAGGTCTGAGAATGTCAACCCTTCAGCTCAGTGGTGGCCCAAGGACCAAAATTAACACAGGCCACTTGTTGCTGTTTTATCATTCCAAATGGAAACACATGACTGTTATGACAGAAGCTCAGTTTCTGAAGCTCATTGAGTCCTAACACATGTGTACATAGAATCCAAGATCACTAGGAATGCTTTTTGTGAACTGTATTGCCATAGTAATTTTAAGCTGCATTTATATGGCATCTGTTTTCTATGGGTACTTGAATAATTGACCAGTCCTGCCTAATTAACATCCTAACCTCCCTTCCCTCCAATTCACTACTGAAGTAAGCTATGAGCCAGAAAGATACCAAACAACCAGTTGGAAAAGCAACAGAATCATGAACTAGTAATTTGGTAAGGACTGAGTTCTTTGTTCAAATTCACCATTTGAGTTGAAAAGGAGTTTAATTAAATCAGCTGGCATGTGTGCATTACAGTTCACAAAATCATTGAGCTCTTTGCTTAAAAGAGGCCAATGTGGGCTCAGAGCCAGTGCTGATGTCGTCCTGGGAACAGAGCCCAGGCCACCACTTCCACACTCCATTTGCTAATATTTGGCAATATTAAACATGGGTGGCTTATGATGGTTGTCTGGGGGCACATTATTTTTTCTAGAAAAAGGTGTGAGCCTTCCTCTGTGATCTATAGAGGAAGGGTTTTAGGAGTCAACACCTGAAACACCTAGACAGTCCATGGGGCCTTAATCATTTCCTGATGTCCTGTGACTTCCTTGGGCCTGTGATAAGAAAAAAGAAGAGGGCATTTTCTCTGCCTGCAGTTAGAACACATAAATCTCAGCTAAGATTAGATCTCATGATAAGTGCTCTTAAGAATTAAAAAAAAATCTTCTTCATGTTTCCTAAAATTTCTGTACTAAATATATCTTAACTTGAAAGAAAGAAAAACAAATTTAAGCTAGGCACTGATGGCTCACACCTGTAATCCTAGCTACTCAGGAGGCTGAGATCTGAGGATCACAGTTTGAAGCCGGTCTGAGCAGGAAAGGGAGAGTCTTATTTCCAGTTCACCACCAGTAAACTGAAAGTGGTGTTGTGGCTCAAAGTGAAAGAGAGCCAGCCTTGGGCAAAAAAAACTCAGGGACAACACCCTGTCCAAGTTCAAGCCTCATGACCAGCAAAATAAAATAGAAAGAAAATTTAATCATGAAAATGGCCTTACTGCCAAAAGCAATCTACTGACTCAATGTAATACCCATCAAAATCCCAAGATAGAAAATAAACACTAAAGTTCATATGGAAGCATCAAAGACCCTGAATAGTTAAGGCAATCTTGAGTTAAAAAAGCAGTGCTGGAGGTATCACAATTCCACACTTCAAATTATAATACAGAGCCACAGTAAGAAACGCAGTATGGAGCTGGGCACTGGTGGCTGACACTTGTAATCCTAGCTACTCAGGAGGCTGAGATCTAAGGATCAAGGTTCAAAAACAGCAGCAAGAAGGAAAGTCCATGAAACTCCTATCTCCAATTAACCACCAGAAAACCTGAAGTGGCTCAAGGTGATAGAGCACTTGCCAGAAGAAGAAGAAGAAGAAGGAGGAGGAGGAGGAGGAGGAGGAGGAGGAGGA